CCAGGGTGTATTTTTACACAAAACGAGTACAAACTAGAGCACATTTCACGGAATCTAGATGATTATGTTGAATTTGGCACCATAAGGGTGGAGGTGTAAGAAAAAATCATAGTTGAGGGGGTAGATGTAATTATCCAAACAAGAGGGGGTTTTTTGTAATTTGACCATACCTCAGGGGGGTGTTTGTAATTTACCCTAAAAAATATGAACATCCATGTCGATAAAAGTAAAACTAATAACTAATAAATTCAGTTAATAAATAAAAATAAAAATAAACACAGCATAATTTCCAATAAAACTTCCAACAATAATTCATTATGTCAAAATGCTAAAACAAAACTTACATTTGTATTTTTCGGAAAAATAATTATTATATAATATATATTATTTATAGGTGTATTATTCGGAAAAAATCAAATTAATTTCGGAGTTAAATCGGATCGGAAATCGGAAAATCCAAATTTATTTTATATAATTCCAATTCCAATCCAAAAAAATCGGAAAAATTCGAAAATCGGAATTTCGGAAGTCGGAATGAAAAAAGTTGTTCCGAAATCGGAACTTTTCGAATCGGAACCGGCGAAAATTGGAAATTCGTTCCAACTTGCACCCCTAAGTAAACGTATCGGAAAAAAAATCAGCTTAAATGATAAATGCATATCCAAAAATGCTAAATACACTTGGGAAAAAATTGCATATAAAGATAATTTGGGAAAAATTGCATATAAAGACAGTAATAGTACTTTGACTCTCTAGAAATATCCATAATAATAAATTTGACTTGATTTTTTCTCTACGTTAGTGAGGCGTCGGGACATCTTATATCAACCCTATATCTAAACAAATATTAAAAGGGTAAATTTCAATTTACCCCTAGTACTTAGGTTCGATATCACTTTACTCTCTTCTACTCTCCATTGCATCGATTAGCTCCATGTACTTGAAAAATTGACTCAATGTGGCCATCGCCGTTAGTTTTCAGACCTTTGACATTAACACCGTTTGATCTAATTCTGAAAATTACAAAAAAAGTCACCCCTCCCACTTTAAATAATTATTAAAAAGAATTAAAAATAAATTGTGGCTGGCGTTGTGGACTATGTTTTCTCGTTGTCTTGACTTTTTATTATTTTATTTTTTTAATAATTATTTAAACTGGAGATGTGGCGTTTTTGTAATATCAGAGTTTAATTCAAAATGTGTTAAGGCTAAATGTCTGACATAGAGATACATTGAGACAATTTTTCAAGTGTAGGGGTGCAAATGATGCAATCGAGAGTAGAATGAAGTAAAGTGATATCGAGCCAAAGTATAAGAGGAAAGTGGAATTTACCCATATTAAAAATGTGAGCGTTATAAGAAAATCGAAGATTCCCCTAATTTGATGCTCTCTGATTCTTTCACAAATAGGCTTAGTCGCTTGAATAATTTTGTCACAAGAGAAAATCTTCAAGATTCTATAAATAAATATTTTCCCGATACACTTTATTCGATCATCTAAGTTTCTTCTAGGTCGACCACTATATATACGTACGGATAGTCTTGCATTGACATAAAAATAATTCAAAGTTCTATAAATAAATAAATTAAAAAAAAAAAAAAAAAAAAAAAAAAAACCGAAAATAGTTATGGCTGGCAAAAGGGTGGAAGTTGAAGTAGTAGTCGTAGTAGTAATGGCGATGTTATTTTCGGCATGGGCAACACAAAGTATTCAGCCGGATAGTTTTTGGAGTTGCTACAAACATTGTATGAAAACTTGTCATTACGAGCTTTTTTGTGATGTAATAAAATGTATTAGGAAATGCAAGAACGGTGTGTCGGAGTTAGCTGGTGTCTCTGGTCCTTTGCCTTCTCCGTTAGCCTTCGACCATGGCTCCGAGGGTGGAAGAGATTGATCATAGCTATGGATTTGAATGATTAATTAGATAATAATTGGTGATTTTAATGATTTGTTCCTAGTTAGTTTTAGATGAATATTAAAATAAATGGTAAATTCCACTTTCCCCATGTACTTTGGCTCGGTATCACCTTGCCTCTTTCTACTTTTGATTGCATCGATTTGCCCTCTGGACTTGTAAATTGGTATCAATGTGGCTCATTGTTGTTAGTTGTCAGATATTAGGCATCAACACCGTTCGGTCTAAACACTGAAATTACAAAAACGCGACTCATCTCATTTTAAATAATTATTAAAAAATAAAATTACATATTAAGGAATTAATACGCGACGTTTTATTAGGTAAATAGCACTTACTTCCATGTGGTTTGAACTAAGTGGAATACGACCCTCTTGAAATTTTAAAATAGCACATGACCCCTTTAAATTTTAATATAACTACATAACCCCCTTATACTTTCAAATATTTTTTCTTCCTAATGAGCATGATTATTGTCCATAAAGGGGTTATGTGTTTTATATTAAAAATATGAGGGTATTATGTACATAAAGTTCAAACTACATGGTCATGTGTAAAAAGCCAAACCACATGAGTTTTAAGTGCTATTTACCAGAAAAAATACAGTTTTCGCCCTCAAATTAGCACTAGTTTCATATTTGGTCCATCATGTTCACAAAAAATACATTTGATCCCTCGTGTTTCAAAATTAGTCTTTTCGGTCAATTTTACGTCAAAACTAACGGAATCAATCGTATGCCCATCAATGACTTAACTGAAAGACTAACGGTAAATTGACGGAAATGACCAAAAGCGTTAAATTATTGAAACATGAGGGACCAAAAGTGTTTTTCAGTAAATATAGGGGACCAAATGTGAAATTAGTGCAACTTGAGGGGTGAAAATGTAATTTTCCCGCTATTTACCCATTTTTGTTTTCTTATAATTTGGGCCTTATACCCTTCGTATACAAATCGGCCCCTAGGGTTTTCAGTCGTCATTTGTAGAAGATCGAACATCACTCTCCGTCGCTCCGCTCTCTCTCTCTCCTCTCTCCGCCGGCAGCCATGGTAATCTCTCTCTCCTAAAACCTTTGATTCACACAATTTCTGATCATTTTCAGATCATTTTCGTAATTTTATTATCAAACCCTACTCTTAATTTGTAGAGTTAATGCTTAACTCAGTGGATTTAGTGTAGACGATCGTACGGTGTTTTCGTTATTGTTATGAGATCTTAGAAACCTTGGCACTAATCAAATTTCCTGGTACTGTTTGTTTTTCAGATTTGATAATTCCCAAAAAAAAAATATATTAAACTTTGGGCTGCTGCGCCACAGGATTTCGTTTTCAATTGTAATTGGATTGATATCAATATTTTGAATTTTATTTGCTACTGATTTCGGTTGATGATTTGAACTCGTGTAACATTTTCTTGAATCCATGATGCCTCGAATCGAATGTGATTTCATCCGATCAAAATGAATCGAGCACAACACCCTGAATTTGTAACTCGGATATTGTATTTCCTGTTTGTGTCAAATTATCCGACTTTTGTTTGTTAGTGCATAATTCAATTTTTACAGAAATTAATTACTTGATTCATTGTAGGTTGTTAATTATTATCGATTTTATGATTTTCTTTTTTGCAGGTGAATGTTCCAAAGACGAAGAAAACCTTCTGCAAATCGAAGGAGTGCAAGAAGCACACGCTGCACAAGGTCACACAGTACAAGAAGGGAAAAGACAGCTTAGCCGCTCAAGGGAAACGACGTTACGATCGCAAGCAGTCCGGTTATGGTGGACAAACCAAGCCCGTTTTCCACAAGAAGGTGAGACATTCCGTTTTATGATTAATTTCATTTAATAATATATAATTCCCAATTGAAATGAAACCCTTGTGATAATATCTGTTTATCCAACCGCTACACACCCGTGTAGAATTTTACCGTTCATTCATTCATTCACACACAAAAGCACACACACCCATGTTGGTGTGTGTAGATGAACTGTAAAGGACTGAGTTTATTGTGTTTTGTGATTAGGCCAAGACAACTAAGAAAATTGTGCTCAGGCTGCAGTGCCAAAGTTGCAAGCATAGTTCCCAGCACCCTATCAAGGTTGGTGTTTCGTTTTTTTTTGTTTTTGTATTTTCTTTTTTTGGTAATTAATAAGTAATACCTTGACTCTGTCATGTTCTCACTACTGTATTATTGGCTCTGGTTTATTTGCAGAGGTGCAAGCACTTTGAAATTGGTGGAGATAAGAAAGGGAAAGGAACTTCACTTTTTTAGGTGTTCTATTTTGCATTTTACTCTAGTATTTAGCTTTGTACTTTGCCGTCGTGCTACAAATATTTGATAAAAATGTCAGACTCGGATTTTTTTGGTTTTTTTTTGTTTCGGCGCTTGGATTAAGTGTCTCGATGCAATTTTCTCCGCTAACACAAGGTTTGTGTCCATCACATTATAGGATCTTGTTTATTCCTCCATTCTATGTTTCTTCTGTTCTATCTTATTGCATTGGTACTATACTATGTGTAAACAATGATGACATCGAATATTAGGACACTTTTCGAGTGTATGCGAAATCGAGTTGAATGGAAACTTGAATAAGGGAGGATCTTGTTCGTCGAGTGGAAGTGTGTTGCCTCATACGAGTATAAATTGTGTAATGTGTAAGGTTTAAAAAAGTATCACATCTAAACATTAACACTATTTTTTATAACGATAAATTACAACCACCCTTGAGATATGGTCAAATTACGAAAATAATCTCTCATGTTTGGGTAATTACATCCACCATTCAACTATAAATCTTCTTACACGTCCCCCTTGTAGTTTCAAATTTAGTGGAATTTTCTAGATTGTATGGAATATTATCAATTTTGGATCTGTTTTATCCCATTCGAGCTCCACAATTTGAAGCTAGATGATCATAAGATGTGTTTTTTAGCTTGTATATATATCAGATTGTGGTGCATCAGAAACTATATTTTTGCACAAAACGAGTACAAACTAGAGAACATTCCATGAAATCTAGATAATTATGTTGAATTTGACACCATAAGGGTAGAAATGTAAGAAGATTTATAGTTGAGAGGTAGATGTAATTATCCAAACAAGAGGGGTTTTTCGTAATTTGACCATACCTCATGGGTGATTGTAATTTACCCTTTTTCTAATGAAAATCAATCTACTGTCCAAATAAAAAGAACCATGAGCACACCACCACCTTCTCTATAATGTAAACCAAAATATTCATCAACGGACTAGCACATATACTAACTATAACAAGACACAAAGCCTCGCACATGTATGTATATATCCTCTTATACACAAAAAAAACCCGATTTCATCAAATCGTATAAACCGTACCGACTTCCAACAAAGCAGCGTTAGGTATGTTCAGCGCCACCGGAGGCTCCCTGCTATTCCTATCAAGAAACACATAAACCATAATCAACAACCTCTTCAACAAATTCGACCCCTTTCTTGCAAGCAAATGCGATTGCCCCAAGAAATAAGCGGTCCCACTTTCCCTAGCATCAATAATCTCCTGCAGCTCCTCCCTCACCGAATCCCTCATCTGCGGACTCTTCGGTGGCAACATGAACCGGACCCTCTTCCTACTAACGCCACCCCGATTATCACTATTGCCACTCCCCGAAGAACCTTCTAGAAGGTTCCGCCGCGACTCGCTCCCACCTCCGACGATCGGGGAGCACACGCTCGAACCCATCTCCTCAACGGGAATCAACGCCGCTCCTCCGTCCTCCATTAAACTCCCCAAAATTACCATTTTACCCTCGGCCGAATTTAGTGACTCGTAATCGTATTCCTCCCTCGCGATAAATTCTCCGATCGAGCTGATAATGTGGTCCTCGAAATCGTCAGTATCTCTCACGCTATCGCGGTACCCATAACGGACAATACAACGGTATATCCTATATTCCCGTGGGCCCACCCTCCCGATAAGGTACCTCCGGTTATGAGGTATATAAGGCACCGGCGAAGACTTGAACGAGACGAAAATCAACACTTGGTGGAAAGCCGGTAAATTTGTGATGAAGTGAGAGAAGAAGGCGGGAATCCCCATTTCGATATCGGAGTAGATAAACCCTATACCGGGCACTCGAGAAACCCCGAGGCTAGGGCTATAGTTTGTTAGCCAATCGATGGAGACTTTGTTTTCGACGTCGAATTGGTACTTTTTTAGGGTTCCGTAGTGCCATGCGGACATTATTGTGGTGAAGAAGAGGAAGAGGATAATTAGGCACCACGCACCGCGGAAGAAGTTCACTAAGCTTGTGGAGAGGTACATTGCCTCGATTGAGCCGAAGAAGACGAGGAAACATGCGGAGGCGAAGAGGCTCTTCTCCCAGTATAGTGCGATTACGAGCGACATTAGGCAGGTTGTCACTATCATGCCGGAAATAACCGCCAAACCTGTCGTATTCGGAAAAAGGTGGACTTTTTTTTTAGGAAACAACTATATTATGTAAATTGTATCTTGTTGTCTTAATAGGAGAAATTCTGTTTTTTTTTTTTATTCGGAAGTGAAAAACTAATTCCAATTCTGTTTTAGAAAAAAATGGAAAATCGGAAGTCGTGATTTTGGAAATAGGAGTGAGAAAAACTTGATTACAAAATCGGACAGATCGGATCGGAATTGGGGATTTCGGAAAAATTCTGTTTTTTTCGGAAGTGAAGAACTAATTCCAGTCCCGTTTTCAAAAAAAAAATATTGGAATATTTGAAATTCAGAATTTCGGAAAGTGGAAATTTTGAAATTGGAATTTCGGAAATTGAAAATTTGAAACTGGAATTTCGGAAATTGAAAATTGGAATGAAAACTCGAAATTGGGTATTGATATTATGTGTAATTTTCGAAATAAATTGGATATTTTAAAATTAGAATCGGATCTGAAAACATAATCTAATATGTATTCTAATTCAGTTCCAATAAAAATCCGGGGAAATCGAAAACCGGAACTTTCAGAATTCGTAATAAAAATTTTTTTTATAAAAAATCGGAAATATTTTGATCGAATAATTGTCTATAGTTCTTTTAGAAATGCAAATAAAATATCTGATACCTGTGGCTTTTCCAAGTTGTGCAATGTCGTGCAAGCCGATGGTGATTGCTATGCTCAAAGTCATGAACAGCCAGTTCACATCGGGTACGTAAACTTGGCCGAGTATTTGTTCGGACGTATGGACGATTTTAACCCTGGGAAAACAGTCTAATGCCTGACACTGGTTTATTATCGAGAATCCAGCTGTAATGGTTGCCTGACTTCCTACAGCTGAAGCGAACAACGATAACACCGCAAATACGTGCTGAAGCGCCCCTGAAAATTATTTATTTATTTATTTCAATCGTAAGTAACAATTATAGAGGAAAATGAGAAGAGAAAAAAGGGGAGGAAACCAAAACTTACTATTAGATATAGATTCGCTGAGGTGGAAGCATCGACTGCACCAAGATGTTTCGAAACATATGCGAATTGTCCGGCATAAGTCAACAAAAGGACAGATATATGAAGCGGGGCTTGTTATCTGTAATAAAAATCGAAACAAGATTTTATAAAATCCTCAAATGTAGTTTTCTTGAATACATATACATATACATACATATATATATATATATATATATATATATATATATATATATATATATATATATATATATATATATATATATATATATATATATATATATATATATATATATATATATATATATATATATATATATATATATATATATGTCAATTATCAAAGTTTACTATTTTATTCCAACCATGTACTATATATTTATATTTTATATCAAATTATCAATTATTACATTGTTTTATTATTCTTGCAAATGATAAATTAGTGTTTTTTTCATGACAACATATGTATGAGTAAAATCAAATGTTAATATAAGGGTAATTTTGTCCATCTAAACAAAATAATTCTGACAGTAGAGAAATTAGTGTGGCATCAACAACAGCATTATCTATGTTACGGAGAAACGTGTTGATAGTGAAAATAGTATTAAGTGGGACGTTAAATAGAGGGTGATAGCGACTTTAATTAAAATGATCACATGACTTCCCGTTTTAGTTGGACAATTGGATACATATTATTAATTAATTTGATTAATAGTCTAATACAAATTGCATGTGACCCTAGTGATTATATGGCACGTGCTTCTGTTTTTCCTTATTTATTTATTTATTTATTTTTTTCTTTTTGAGAAACATTTTTCTCCTTTTTAATAAACTCCAATCAAGTAATAGAAGCTATATTACAAATAAATTAGACTTCGCTCTCGTTTCGTTACCTATATCAGATTACACTGAATTGGATTGGATTAGCTCACTTTATCTAGTTTGTAATTTAATTAGTAAGAGGTTTGATATCATTATATTAGATACAATATTGAAACTATTAAAATTTTGAATTTATAATTATAACATATCCTAATTTAATAATAATTATATTATATTTTTTTAATATTATCTTGAAATTAAATGTCTCCATGACTCTCATGTAATGCATTCTCAGCTAACCACTACTGATTTTATCTTATGTTAACATGTGCTTAAACAGTGATATTTAGGTAAAATAGGACCTGATTTTGTGACTGATTTGATACACGATACATGATTTGGAGGTACTATTTCTTGTTTTATCTATTGACTTTTGAGACAATTTTCTTTTTCCATCTGTATATAGCAAACCATTATGTAAGTGGGATGGGATCTCATTTAGTATATTCCTAGTTTCTTCACATCTCTATTGTTCGATAAGCGAGTGGTATCCACTTATGAAAAGGAAATACGAGAGATTCGAACCAGTGAGATTGAAGGTATGGGTTAGAGAGTTGACCAAAAGCGAAGTGGTTGTAGTCAAACTTAGAGTTCCGGTGACTATACTTTGTGATGGGCCATTGATGCGACCGCCGATGGATTATGGACGAGAAAACGTGAAAATGAAACAGAGCCGTAGCATAAAACTAAGCTTCACTTTCATCTGTAACTCTTCCTTTCTTTTGTTTTCTTAGTGAATCTATAATCACTTATTACCATTTAGGTAGTGTTTGCTAATTAGCTGGAAAATCAACAAAATAGAAAAAATAGTGTACATGAGGTGCTTTTAAAATTATAGCTTAAAACAATTTATTTTAAGAGATGTGTTAAGTGTATATTTTTACACTTTATCGTATCTTTTTATTTGAGCTTTTGGTGTATTTTAATGATAATTGGTGCTTAAAAAGTGGATTTATTGTATTTTAGGTACAAATTGAAGAATTGGAAAAGTATGAGGTCAAAACTGCAATTTTGGCAAAAATATGGGTCAAAAGTGAAAAAATCAGAATTATGAAGATTTAAGCTCGGATCCCCGTCCCAGTTTTAGTGCAAATCGTGGGACCCCCGTCCGAGACTCTGAAGTTGCGCAGAAAAGGGATTTTAATCGCACAAGGAAACTGCCTTCTTCCCCAAGTTCTTCACCCTATATAAGACCAACCCAAGCACACAATTGGGAATCTTTGGACGCAAATTCAAGAGCAAAGAAGATCAACGAAGATTCAAGCATAGTTTTTCCTATTTATTTATTTTATTTTCTTTATCATAAGAATTACGAGTAGCTAAGTCTTTATTTCTAGGATTTTATTTGGAACCCTATGTGGGATTTATGAACCCAATTCTATGATTTTATGCAAGTTTTAATTCCGGATTATTTCTTCTACTTGTTTTATTAAGTTCATGAAACTGGCCACTTTATGCGCTTTTACGTTATTGTTAATCGCATGAATCGGAAGATCGGGTTAATAATTAGAACTGTGGTAGAAGAGCCTTTGTGGTATTAACATAGGAATATAGTTAATCTCTTAGGTAGCCATTATTGAGATTTGTGCTTAATGCTGTGTTCTAGAATTAATTGCATAGGAATATAGTAATTGAATCTAGAGTATTAGAATCGTAATACACGCGGAAGCGGGTTATGATTATTTTAGCATCTCAGGTTAATAATCCGGGTTAATTGCTTGCATAATTGAAGGAATTGGGGGAGTAATAATCACATAGGGGGAAGAATAAAATCCTAGGCTCGTTTACTCTGATAAATCTTCGTGTTTAATTTGCTTTCTTGCTTTGTCGTTTTAATTTGCTTTTTAATTTATTTTAGTTAATTCTCTCTAAAGTCGACTGTGTAGGGTGGGCTTGATAATAATTGGTAGAATTTAGCGTCTAGGATTAGATAATTAAATATTCCCTGTGGGTTCGATATCCGGACTTTTAGTCCACTATATTACTTGTACGATACGTGCACTTGCGTGTAGGTTTTCGCCCAACAAGATGCAAAAGCAAAAACTTGTTTTGGAAATACCTAAAAATAAATTTAAATTATGCGCTGAAAAAAGCCCAAAATCTATTTGTAAAAGGATTTGAAAACACCACCTTCGTATAAATGAAACTATATCCAGAATTATTTAAAACCGAAAAGGTCAAGTATACTTGCTTTTAAATATAAATTTAAACTAGAGCCATACCAGAACTATTATCACCAATATTTTGACACAAACATCCATTTACCATTAAAATTATATTTATTTTAAATGTCAAATTATTCATCTACTATATAAAACAAATAAAAAAATTATCATAGCTAATCCATAGTGACAAAATAAAAGTCAAACTAAAATGGGGACTAAAAAGTAGTTATGTTCAGTTCAACTACTAAAAAAATCCAGATACTGTGAAGTTCTTACACTAGTAGCCATTCACCTCAACAAAACTAACAAAGCCTGCTGTTTCTGTTTCTGACAAAACTACCAGCTTCATTCATTAGTATTCCAGTTCATCAGTTTGTTCCTCTTAAGAAGTTAATAATCAAAAAAAAAAAAAAAAAGAATTCTAACATAAGTTGTGTGTGTATTGTATCTATATTCAAGCCATTTTACTCTGAATGTGCCTATGGATATGTACTAGGAACTCAACGTACGACAGCCCCTCCGCTGTTTTGTCTTCTATCATGTAAGAGTTAAACATCATCCCTGCAAATAAAATAAAATAAAATCAATATTTAAATCTTCATGCTTTTGAACTTCATCGCTATTCATATATCATTTGCTTGATTTTATTTTTGTCTCGTTCACTAACCTGATGGATCTCCCTTTTTGCACAATTTCAACCTGCAAGATAAGAAAGAGAAAAAGGAAAATGAGAAGAAAAAAAAAATGTCGAAAATAGTTGAGTGTGTCGAGTATCAATGAAAGAACTAATTATACCGTAGGTAGGAACACCGTTGGCGCCTTATTTCATTTACAATAGCATTCAGCTTCTTTGACAATGGATTGTCGTATTGCTGCAAAACAAACTGGAAAGAGAAAATGCCTTAAATTTGCTGGTTTCTTTGCAACGGGAGATTTATGTGCATGTACGCTGCCAAGAACCCAACTTTTGCATGTACTGATATTATTTTCCGAAAGGAAATTAATATGTATAGATAAATAATTCAGAGAATCTTGCAAGGAACAAAGAAAGAAAACCAACAGATAGTGCAGTATGGTTACGACATATTTAAGAGATGAAACTTTAACCCTTTTCTGAAACTTGGAAATCCGTTAATCGACTCTTGGTCGGAAAACTATATAATATGTGTGCTACCAAATTGCAGAATGAAAATAAATAAGAGAATTTACGATATCGAGTACATTTTTCAGATAAGAATCTCAAACAGTCGAGCACGTAATAGAATACCTGATTTGGAATCTCCTCAACTGATGAAATACCAAAAAACTGTTGCAGAGCATTATTCTGAACAGAATTGCCAACATATATCAAACAGTCGTAACCATTCTCAAGAAGATATATGCCCTCGTCAGAAATGTTCTCACTGCTAAGTGGAATCTGAGTAGGAATAATGGAATCGTCCAGCTCCTGAAATGTCAGGATTAAGAAATGAGACGAGTATGTTAGAAACATTAACAAAATCAACTATTGGAAGAAAAATAAAAATCATACCTTCTCATCGAGGTCATGAATGGCTATCATCCTAGGGTACACAAACGGGATTACAAAAGGAGCAGGCAAAGGGGAAACGTAATTTATCCAGAAAGATCGATCATCAATTCGTCCATCAGACCGCAATCCATTGCTTTTTTGCAAAGCTGAATAAGCAGAACATAACTGTTTAAAACCGAAAGTACAACAGCTATATATGATATAAGTACATCAATAAGAAAATAGCGTAATGATCTTTCATATTCTATTTCATGATGATACATATTACACGATATCAATAATTATACAAAGAGGTTCACTTCTTGATTATGAGGTGGCATTTGATTCATCAACATTTATTGAACTCTCTGCCCAATTAACAAGTTTTATCGAATGTTTCAGTGATCAAATATAAAGGTGTTAAACTACAGCAATATAGAAGTCGTCCAAATGTACATCCAAAATATACAGAACTGGGTGTAACCAGGACGACCTGGAATTGGAACTGCATAAACGAGGAAAAACTATCTATGATTGATAGATGAAATGAACCGTACCAAGTAAATACAGGGGCAGCATTTTAAGTGATTCGGGCAGTATAAGTTGTCCCATAGATTGTGTTGTAGCACAGGACTTGCGGTAGGAACAAAGAACGTCAATGACAGCATTTGTAGCTCGATCCCTGACTTGAGAAAGAGGAGCTGAAGGAATTTCATCAGCCGCTGTCATATAAGAAAATAATCAAAGTAGCAGAGTCAGTAAAATAGATTAATGCAAGATATTGTCTACGAGCCGGAAAGAATTTCAAAGTGCTAAAATAGCAGATGCCAAATTCATTATAGGTCCATATGTGTAAAAAAAATAAGTAATGGGGAGAAACTATCATCAAATGAATAAATGAATAAGCAAGTCTAACAAAATCGGAAGAGGCAAGTACCTTGCTTCAAGATACAGGAAAATAGGGTGTCTATGTCAGCAGATCGGAATATATTGCTCGGCATATTGGTGCATGGCAAAGACAAGGTCGAGATTCGGATTCTTCTTTGGCCATACACAGTTGTGTATAGAAGGGCACACTAAGACAATAAAAACATACAAAATGATTAGATGACCAAATACTTCTCCAACGTAGAGAAGTGGAAGAGAGAATAAATGAAAGAATGTTGTTTTCCCCAGGAAAATAATGAATATGTTTTCAACAAATCAGGAAAACATATGAAAGTTCCAATTAGACGACATTGTATCAGTGAATTATAGTTATACCTGAAAAGAACACTCTGATCCTTCCTGCAATTTGTCGTCGTGTTTTAAGGTCACCATTATTGTCTTGTCACAGTCGATCTGCAAAATTGAAGATCCATTGAAGCAAAAAGTCTTCACCGGTAGTAAACATAAATTGGAAAAGACTAACAAGTGAACGTGATTAAACTCCATATTTTTGGCTAACAACTAGATCAAATATGAAATAAACAATAAATAAAAGCCAAAGCAAGGAAGCCATATGTGATCCAATTAATATTCTACATATATAACAAAATTAGGTTCACCATGTTCTGTTTCTATGATTTATCTTAATCTGCCTTTTTATCAACACATACAACGATCATTATCTAAAATTTATTTTGAGAAATAGAGATGCATGTGTTTATATTTATCACGTTTGTATGGAGGGATAGAACGAGAAAGACATACGGCAGGTAGGTCCACATCAGTTGGGATTCGCTTGCAGAAGTTTCCAGCATATTCATGAACTTGAATACCCTAATAAGAAAACAAAAACTGTCACTTCTTACCCATCAAACACTTGCTGTTGTATACATATATAAATAAAAGAGAGAAGAAATATGATCTTTCACAAATAACAAGTTTAGAATCCTAACTACAAGAAAGTCACCTGGCTGCATCTAACACGCATCACAGCCTCAAATCCTTGGGGCCTTGTAACATTCCACCGAAGATCATTGGAAAGCTTAGCAGAATCAGAAAGAGCTGAGAAAGGATAATAATAGTAAACCTGGAGAGAAAGGAAAGCCATCAATCAACATGAGAGAAGTGTTCTATATGATAACAAACTGACTTTTAGTCAACTAACGAAATGCTTTCAGATGATGTATGAGGTTCGTGCTGGGATTATAGATGTTACAGTCACCAAATATGAAATGATCACTTCGAATAATATAGGTTGAAGAAGCCCTTTTTTTAGAAAAATACCTGGCCTCCAGTAGTTCTTGGAATAACAGAGAGAGAAGCAAGATCCACATACGTTTGACTTGTAATGAACAAGTCAACACAGACCTGAAAGTGTATAGAGAGAGTTAAAAAGAATGGCAAGGATAGAATATGAATGGATCCCAAACCGGGGGGCAAAAAGAAAAAAAAAAAAAAAAAAAAAAAGCGATTTTAGATGTTGGAAACAATACGTGTTGTTGGGACAAAACAGTAAAAAGTCACCTGGTACTCTGCAAGTTCAATGGCCATGGTCTTTAGCGTTTTGTCCACTGGTTGGAGTAATTTGTGAGCTTCCTGAAATCCAGGGAGAAACGGAAGTCATGAGCATATAGAATCTTTGGTACCACTTACCAGACAACTGATTTTTAATGGCCTAGAACAGATACAGAAAAACCCAATAACAGATACGGGGCAAAATCCAAAATGCAGGTTTTTTTGAATCAGTCAGATATTTAAATTTTGAGCTGCATTTAAATCTCCATATGAAATTCTTGATGATGCATTTGGATGGAATGACTTAAAGCTAAGGATTTCAACTTCATAATAACAACTTCGGCTTGTTTGGATGAATTCATTCTACAATGACTTTTTAGTCAGTTTTCAGTTTGAACTAGTTTTTGAGTTGTGGTGGACTAGAAAATCCCTCTCTCAAATCCTTTCATCAAATATAAATGCAACTTAACAAGCACGAGATGATATTAAAATATTATATACAGCAATTGTACCTTTTCTCCTGCCGATGAATTACTTCTACCTTCTGCTTCTCTTGCAGAAAGAGATCCAATACCAGTTGAAGGCAAGACTGTAACATCAGAAATCATCAAATAAATAATACTGAAGTAAAAATTGTCTAGTCACATAGAAATTCAAATAAGTAATGTTTTGAACTCCATCGAATGAAGTGCCACAAAGTGTTAACATACATCATGTTGAAAAGCCTGAAAGTACCAACTAGTCAACAACCGAGGAACTAAGAAGTTGAAGAAGAAACAACAATATACTAAATTAATAAATAAAAATATGTATATGCATATTATTAACGAAAAAAGATAAAGGCGGGATAATTTATCCAACTAGAGTCATGCGAAGCACAATTTTACAGATAAAAAACAAATTGGCTATGCTTGGACGTACTTATGAGCTTTTTCTATATGAAAACAAATTGTAAGCTTACCAGATTGGAAAACAAGAAGTTTGCCACCGGTATTTTTCATCGCCAGGAAAGCCGCCTGAAGTAAGAAAGAAGAAGGTACAAATATTATGTATCACAATCTAGATGAATATAATATTATCATTGGTCTCATACCTTTACAGCAGCACCAAAAGCCGAGTCAACAGTTCTATTAGTCTGAAACATTGCAGGAATGCTTTCTAACAATGTCTCCAAATGTTGACGGCACTGCATTTAAGCAAAACTACTTCAATCATTTGGCTAATTTTTATGTAAGCAAAACCATAATATCCTGGCATAAATCAAAAATTTAAAGCTACAACAGAAAAGAAATTATGACAACCAACCTCAGAAATTTGAACAATAACATCACTCTGGAGAGGAGTGTAGACATCTTGAACATCAGGAACTATAAGCATTAGTGGCTGGAGTGGAACAGAACAAAGATAGAGTTAAGCATATACAGTAGCAATGTTTGATTCAATAGTGATGATAGCCATTATCTAGCTCAAGGGATAAGATGAACAGCATAGTATGCCTCGTGGCTTTCAACATCCAGATAAAAGAGAATAAAATATTTTTAACGAGAAGATAATTTTTTTATTAGATGAACAAAAGGCACCCAACCTGCTGCGATGCGCGTTTTAAGTTGTAAAAGTGGATGGTGCAGTCAAATGTAGCAATTCCAACCATGGTTCGAGGACCCTCCTGCAATACAACGGTCAACCGATAATGTTAAGCTGGGAATTAAAATATAACCAACCAAATGCTGGTCCTCTTCTCTGTGGAAAACAAAGTATTTTCTGGTCCGAAAGTTATCTTGAAATGGTTAACAAATTTACGAGGTAAAATGGCAAATAAATTAATTAATGGTTCTATAGCTCTTGCAAATACATAACCTTAAACACAATTACCTCCTACTAAATTCTTTGTAAGAAACTATTAGCAGCTACCTAGTTATTTGGAATAATAGCACCACTTAGAAAGCTTTAAAGAACATTTGGAACAATACCACAAGGACAACTATACACATCATTAATCATTTAATCCTAAGCCAAAAGTTTTTTTTTTCTTGGGATATTCAACGATGAATTCCCAAAAATTCAGGTGACCAGTCAATACTCACATCAAGTATAATGAAGAAATAATACATGAACTATATTCATGGGATGTCAGGGATGAACTTACAGGTAGGTCAGAGATAACTTGACTGATTGCACTGCAAGCTGCTGCAGTAGCGCCAGTTTGTATAGCGTACATTGATACATCAACAAGAAAGAAAAATACTGCAGGCATTGGATCTCGCACCTGAAATACATGTCAACAAATGTAAATGATAAACAACATAAGAATGAGGAAGTAACATTTGATGAATCAAATACGAAAAAGGGTCTTCAGAATCTTAGTAAGGTTTAAAATGCATTGTAAAAATATTGTATCCAGCAACAGATGAAACCGGGGCAAAGTAGGCCATGCTATCCTATCCCTAGGGCCCGCATGCTAATAAATCAAATGAATATATTATTCTTGGTCTGCACTGGAGAAGTCCCGTAACTCAAAGTTGCAAAAGGAACTGGTGGCTAACAAAGAAAGCGCATGATGCTGGTTAAATTACGCATATTATTTATAACTCCAGTTTAGCTTAAACCTATACAAAGAATATTTTACATATCTCAAATTATTAACAACTATCTTATCCCATATCTTAGCTTTGTCCACAATGATCTACAAGCTAGTTAGAAGTTACTGCCACAATGAAAGCTAATTAAAGTGGTTATTGCGTTATCAGAACTGTTATGACTAGTTAATGTGAATGTTTTACCCCCAATTTCTTCTTACCATTAACTATCATGCCTATCTTAGTTATTATAAAAAAAAAAAAAAAAAAAAAAAAAAAAAAAAAAAAGAAAAAAGAAAAAACCATCATGCCTATCAAAGCTTGCCAAGTGAAGATCTAGACTGCATTGGATACTAACCATGTATTCCTTGGAAGCAATAAACTCAACAGTTCCCCTGCAAAGCTCAGGCCTTTCATCAGCATCTCTTCGCCGACCGTCTGGGCCTAAGTTGCAGTGATAGTCACGTGGAGTTTCATCCGTATATCCTGCAACAGAAATCCATAAGCAACAAAAATCGATAGTTTGAAACTTCAGATGTTTTTCAAGACAAACAGTTTGAAATAGAAAACCATTCATGAAAGGTATGAAAAATGCCCGTAACAGCAGTAACTAAGCACATATAAAAATATAATGGTGAACTGCTGCCATAGCATTCAACCATCATTAATTTGACGCTTAGCACACTGACAATATTGTGCCATTTATTTTCTTAACCTTTCTAGGTGTTTCCAACTATGCAAAAACAACCAACAAAATGTATTACATAGACATCCAAGGAAAAGGTAAACCTTACCACATAAGTTACAAATGAAGCGTCTTCCTTGATCTATAAACTTCATGAAAGGATTAATGTAACCTTTGCAACGAGAACATCGAACAGGGCCACTTTCCCCAAAATCAACCACCTACCAAGTATAGTAATTTAAATCAGATCAACAATTTATGATATTATCCTGAACAAAGGTGTTACGTCCATGAGATTCAAGTCTATTTGTGAAACGCAACACTGAACAAGTAGGCAAGATTGATTATATATATGCATACATCTTCCAATTTTATCTTAGTGTAGGTACATACTTTTCAATCATTGCCATAATATGACAACAACACAAGATACTGTCAGAGCTGGACATGGCATCAGTAACAAGGAAAAAAATCAATTCAAATATGATCCAATCAAACGCATTTCGAGCGGATATATATCAAAGTCGTTACTTTCCGAAACATCAAACGAAACACATTTTGATTCTCCAGCATTCCCCTATCCCATTCAATAATACAAACAATTATCCCAAAACCCCCAAAATAACACCAAATATAGTGTCAATTTCCACGAGGCACAAAATTATTAATTGCAATTGATTCTTCTCCTTAGTAAACAATGAACCATGCCTCGTGGACAAACTTGCTTCAAGAGAGAGACGAAAAACCAGCAGATAAAATATGAATTCAAGCATCAAACAACAGGTCAATATCAAACTTAGACCATGTTACCAACTTACTCAAACAATTTGTGCATGAGTACATCCATCGAAGAACACATAGATTTGCATGAAAATACATTAACTGATGATATGATCATATTATTGGCATCATTATAGAAAACAAATTACTCCATAATGCCAAGTTGCACAATAACTCTATGGAATTATGCCACCAGAATAATGAAGACAAAAAATCATATTACTTGGATGGGCTCCTCGGATGGATGTGGAAGAGCTAAAGGCTGGACCAACAAAGCCATATGCACTGCAGATGCCGATAGAATATCACCAGTACATGGAATCTGAGAAAACAAACAAAAGAGTCAGGTGTTATTTGCAATTTAATATCATGGGGCAAGTCCCAACTAAAACTGATTATAAAGAAATAGATAATAAAATCAGAATAACAACATAAGAATAAAGACACCAATTTCTAGAAAGAACCGGAAATAAATACTGACCCCAAGAGATATCTAACCTGGTGTGTAGTACATCTTATGTAACGTGGACTGCAATTTCCAGTGTCTCTGACAATATAATCACTTGTTGCAGGCTTCACAAAGGGTAGATGAATTGAAAGAATCAGGAAAAAAGACACAGTATAAACATATTAACATGCTATGATGTAGGTCAAAATGCCACTCAGTTTAACCATTAGAGCAGAGTGAACTCAAACTGTAGTACTAGACAAATACAACATCAAAGAAGATTTGGAGTAAATATATTTTTATTACAAAAAAAAAAAAGGGATGCGTACCGGGGGAGGGTTTGCCTGGTTATCCTGGCGAGTATCATGCAAAATTACAGCAGAAGTTGAGGTAAGACGGGGAATCTGGGTTGTATCAATTTTTAAAGGCCCTGTTTGACTGAAAGCCATTGGTTGATTTGGAAATGGTGGTGTCACTCCAAACATCTGCTGCTGCTGCATATGCCCAGGAATGGGAGGAGGTGGAACCACCTAAACCAAATACTTGACTTAGAAATTAGAAGGCACCTTGAGCAACACAATATAATGGTGTAATGAAGAAGAAGTTGATTTTATTGAGTTTCATCATTCACTGAACACCCAAAGATAAGGTAAAATGCTGCATTAAACTTAATTAGAACATGTTATCCCACTTAATGATATTTTCAATGTGAAACAATCCATGTCCGGTTAGATATACTCCTAAAAATGAAGCACAGTTTGCAAAAATATGCAGCGATAAACATGATTAGTTCATATTATCCCCGCAAGCTACATTAAATGTGAAAAATCAAATAAATGAAGCAAAAAAAAGTCAAAATCTCCAAGTCCAGGACATGTAGCAAAATGTTAGTCAGTTATTTATGAAAAACCCGTGCTATATATGTGTTCTTCATTGGAAACAAATGTATGAACAAATAATTGGTTAACAAGAAATCCGGAGATAAGCAGACAATAGCTTTTCAAACAATTTCAGATTTCAAGATTTTCCAGTCAAAGAGATTAATTGTTAAATCTAAAAACTGTGCCTCAAATAATCCAAAATATCGACAGGAAAACAATGAGAATAATTATTAAATCTAAAAATTATAAAAGGACTTTTGATCGCATTCCCCTATGGTGCAAATAGTTAAACTTTGTCCATATACGTCAGAATGTGACATTTGATATAATAGTTGCAACACCATAACAGAACTAGCTCGTTTCATTAATCTAACCGCTATTCGAACACACATTAATCAGTCAACATTCACTCCACAAACTTATACGAGTCTTCAACAGGCACACATCAAAATGAAAACATACCAACCAATGAGAGAACCAACGAGTCCTCCATATGACAATAATCTTACAAGACTATAAAATCGAAAAACTCACCTGCTGCGGCTGTGATGACCATGTCTGCATCCCATAAGGAGGCGGCGGCCCGTTTTGCAGTGGGCCTGAAAACTGTGGAGCTTGAAATGGCGGGCCTGGTTGCCCCATGGAAGGCGGTGGTGCACCAGCAGGTGGACTACCAAAGCTTGGACGCATTTGCAGGGGCTGAGAAGATGCCCCAGACGACAACATTGTCGGAGATTGTGGTGGACCAACCGACGGCCTTGGCATGCCACCCATGGCAGGAGGGAAACGGGGCCCACTTTGTGTCATCATTCCAGGAGCAAATGCAGGTGGCCCGTTAACAACTGGACCATACGAGCCCATTGGGGGCGGACGGGGCCCAGTTCCTGGATGAGGGGGGCCACCAGGACCACCGATAGAAGCCGGCAATGCCCCCTGTGGGGGTGGTCTTGATGCAAAGGGAGGGGGCTGAGATACCATATTCGGGGGCAATGTGGTTTGCGTAGGGGGAGCATTGGTGGGCGTGGGACCCCTCGGAAACACGCCAGGTGGAGGGGGGCGCGATTGCCCCCCCATAAAAGGTGGTGCTTGTTGGCCGAATGGTGAAGTATTGGGCCTAGGGGCGCTACTGCCGCCAACAATATTACTCGGTTGCTGCTGCTGATTAGGCTGATTAATTTGAAGGTTTTGCATATTGTTGGCAAGTGCATTAGGGTTGTAATTTGGGGGGAAATTCCCTGGTCTAGGTCCTCCAGGGGTTGCCATCAATTTCAGCAACTACGAAATCTCGAAATCGATGATCTTAACACACACAAGTGTTTCTTTATATATATATATATATATATATATATTCGTCTCTCCACAATTCCCCACTCCAATTCAATCTACATTGCAGAAAAAAGAAAAGAGACAGGACATAATAAAAAAATCAACAAACAGCAATTTCATTTCGCCAAATCAAACGAAAATTCACAAGTACAAAATCTTAAAAAAAAATTGAATCACGAATCATAACAAAAACCTGCGACGGCAGCCGAAATTCCGGTCTGTTGCAGAAAGAACCGACCTCTTTCCGGCCAGCAATCGATCTGTCAAAACAAAAACCGGTAAACGATTGCATTGCAAAATTAGATCCAGAAATCCGTCAAATTTGCATGAATTCTTTGCATTAACAAGAAGGAGAAGATGAAGAAGAAAAAAAAAGTAGTTGTACCGGAAATCTTGTGCAGTGAAATGGTTGTACCTCTGGGTAGAAAGGGTTTAGGATCGATGAATATTTGATGAGTCAGAAATCAGTGCTGAAAAGGAAGAAAGAATAAGAAACGGAAGAGAAATTTTCCATTATTATTTCTGAAAATGAAATTCGAAGCAATATTTTCGTAATTTTGTAATTACTAATTACTTCCAAAATCGTTTGGTCTTTTCTTTGTTAATTTTAATTAAATTTAGAAATTTGACTGCTGAGGTGGACGCTTGTGATTGGTGGAGAAAATGCCTGTGACATCATATATAGTGTTTTATACATATTTTTAATATAGAAAAACATGATTTAAATGTCAAAAATCTAATATCTATCATAGACACATAGATAGATGGCTATGAGTTCATTCGTTGAAAAAACATTCAGAAAAATGGTCCTAGGAATTTTGATTACTATTTAATATTTGAAAATTTTATATTGGATTATAAAATATTAAATCATTTATTTTATGTATTAAACATTTTGTACTTTAATTATCATTGATTAAAAAATGAAGTTTGTGAACAAAAAGATGTAGCTTTTGTTAACAGTAAGGGGTGTAAACGAGCTCTTGTACTCATCGAGCTTTAATTTTTTGAGGTCGAGCTCAAGTCGAGTTTGTCGAGCTCGAGCTCATTTTTTATTTTTTATTAGTTTTTTAAGTTTTTTTATTATGATAAATCTATATCATAATTTAAAAATAATTAACTGTAGTTTATTTGTTATTTTTATAATGATAAAAAGATTTTATGATGCCAAGTATATCAACAATTTATAAAATCTTTAATTATATAAGCTTCATGTTGCACACTTGAAAGTTTATTATTAAAGAATTGCTTTTTTCTTTTTTCTTTTTCGTTGTTGTTTTTTTTTTTTAAGGAATTTTTGAAGAATTGGTTAGGTAGACAAAAAATAATTCTGACATGAAGTATGATTAGGGGTATGAACGAGCCGAGCTCGTGACTTTTTCGCATGCTCGAGCTGGAGTCTATTTTGTCGAGCTCGATCTCATTGTTCATTTAGAAAAACTACAATTCTAAATTCTACGAGAAAAAAAGAGACCCGTTTTGATAGAACTTTGATAATAATTATTAATTAATAAGTACTTTCTCCATTCCACATCATTTTTTGTTGTTGCACATAGGGTTGGGCATGGATCGGGTCGGGTAATTATCGGCATATTATCTATCGGACGCGGCCACTAGGTTTTGCTGAAAACTGAAAAATATTATCGGCCCGACCATTATAGGTCGGATAATGGTTGGTAACCTACTTTGTCGGGTAAACAATGGGTGGTTGGTTGATATTATCGACCATCTATTTATTATTTATTTTTTATTTTTATTTTGATACAATAATAAGATGTTTTAAAAGTTTTTTCAAAATTTTGGGGAAAACTTATATTGTAAAAATCTTGACATTAAAATTAAGAGTTTTTTATTAAAATTCTACGATAAGTAAATATATAATGAAAAATTAGAAATAAGAATTATAAAATAGGAATAGTACGATGAGGTTTATCAATTAGTGTTATGAGTTTTTGAGTTTTAACGTTTTAATATATATATTATATTTTAACATTAAAAAAATAAAAATCACAATTAAATATTTATAATAAAAAAATTATTAAAATTAAAATCGGTAGGCCGATAATATCGACCAACCGACTTTTGAGTAAACTAAAAACCACCGACTGACATGTATATATGGGTCGGTTAATATTACCAGCCCGACAACAAATTTATCGACCGAAAGAAGCGCTTCGAAAGTGGATCAATTGGCCGATAAAACCGACCCATGTCCAGCCCTAACTCATGACATTTCATGGTCTTACTTGTACTATATATATATATATATATATATATATATATATATATATATATATATATATATATATATATATATATATATTGATCCATTATATTGAGTTGGACATACAAGAAGAACAAAAGAATAATATACTTGCTTCTCTCTATAGTACTATTTCAATTCCTCTTTGCTTTGTTCTTCTTTATTAGTTTCTAAACAGGAGGGAGTGTTTTTTATTATTATTTTTTTCGGTATTTTTAATATAGTAACAAAAAATTGGAAATGTAAAATACATTAAAAGAAGAAAAAAAAAACGTTGAAATTAATTTGAAGTGGGTTGAGTTAATTTTCAAATTATATTAGACTTCCGTGAATAGAAAGGGGCAAAGGCAAAGGGCAGCGTCCCAAAAAGAGCGCGAAAAGGAAGGAGAAACGCTGTTTACTCTGCCCTTTGAATTCGGCCTTCTATTTTCCGACCATTTCTTCTCTCTCTCTCTTATCATTTCTCTCTTACATAAATTAAGGTAACCTTCAATCTTTCCCATTTCTCGTTATTCAGACACTCATCAAAAAATTTAAAGTTACAAAAAAAAAAAAAAAAAAAACAAAAGAAAATCAAGAATGGCTTTCCCGGAGAACAACCCATCACGGCAATCATTGATCCCAAGTTATCTCTACTCCTACCCTCCGAATTCGAGCCGGTCGGTGAATTCATCTGCAGCGCCGCCATCAAGGGCCGCCGGTACAGGGCGGAATTTCTTGATCCCGGCGCCGAAGGAGAGCAGGGTTGAGTTGTTCTCGCCGGCGTATTACGCGGCGTGTACGGCCGGAGGAATATTGAGCTGCGGCCTCACTCATATGACCGTCACCCCACTCGATCTCGTCAAGTGCAACATGCAGGTTTGATCAGTCATCACTTGATCATATACGTCGTATACGCGACAAAGTAATTTTCAAGAATTTTTCCGGATCCCGATTTATTTATTTTTTATTTTTATTTTATCGAATTTTCAGATAGATCCCGCGAAATACAAGAGCATTTCGTCGGGTTTCGGAGTACTTCTAAAGGAGCAAGGGGTGAAAGGTTTCTTCCGGGGGTGGGCCCCCACTCTAATCGGATACAGCGCGCAAGGAGCATGCAAATTCGGATTCTACGAATATTTCAAAAAGTACTACTCCGATATCGCGGGCCCCGAGAATGCAGCTAAATACAAGACGTTGATTTTCCTAGCGGGGTCCGCGTCCGCGGAATTCATTGCTGACGTGGCGCTGTGCCCGTTTGAGGCTGTTAAGGTTCGTGTCCAAACGCAACCTGGCTTTGCTAGAGGCTTGTCCGATGGGTTTCCCAAGTTTATTAAGGCCGAAGGAGCTTCAGGGTATGTTCGTCTTTTGTTGCATCCTCTTTTTTTTTTTTTTTGGTCGAAAAAGTATGAGTAAGAGAGTTTCTCGTAATTTACGGGTTTAATTTAATTTATTTTCTACAGGCTTTACAAGGGGATTGTTCCGCTTTGGGGACGACAGATTCCATGTAAGCATATACCAACTTATAATTGTCGATCCTTTCGAGATTCTTCGCGTTAAATGTGTATTTTATCCGTAGAGATTGTCGTGTAAATCGCATGTATTTAACGATCAAATTTGGATAAAACTCTTTCTAGATACAATGATGAAATTCGCCACGTTCGAGAACATAGTCGAGGCAATTTACAAATACGCCATTCCATCTCCAAAGGACCAATGCAGCAAGAACTTGCAGCTCGGAGTTAGTTTCGCCGGTGGATACGTGGCCGGCGTATTTTGTGCTATCGTTTCGCACCCTGCCGATAATTTGGTCTCTTTCCTTAACAATGCCAAAGGAGCAACCGTCGGCGATGTGAGTTTTTTTTTTTTTTTTTCTCCGACCATAAAAAACAAAAAGAAAATGACAATTAGTTATTAACGACTCTCTTAATTTTCGTCAATTTTTTAACGGTCACTATGTTTATATTTATTCCAGGCGGTAAAAAAGCTAGGGTTAGTGGGACTGTGTACCCGAGGCCTCCCTCTCCGTATTGTGATGATCGGTACTCTCACTGGAGCACAATGGGGTATCTATGATGCTTTCAAAGTTTCTGTTGGCCTGTAAGTATTTTGTCTTTTCGATTTCATCGCAAAAATCGAGTAATTTATTTTTTATTTTTTATTTGTTTAATGATGAAACCTTTTGTTCATCAGGCCTACTACTGGTGGTGGGAGTTCTGCTCCTGCACAAAAATGAGGAGAGAGAAAGTTATTTCTCCAATTGTATTATTTTTTTTTCCCGCCATGTTTCTTAAGCAATAAAGGTGGTGGTTGAGCAAAAGAATGGTTAGTAGATTAAGTTTTGTAGCTGGGTTTTATGTTTTAACTGTTTTGTAATTTTTGTTTAAATTTTATTGCAAATTGGTAATGCTCGAGTGAAGCTCGACACCGGCAAGTAAGCCTCGGTTCATGTAGCAGTGCGAATTTTTCGTAAAAATAAACTGAATTCAGAAGATGTGTATAGTTCTCTGCTTCAAATTCACTGTTTCTAATATCTAATATGAGAAACCAAACATCTTACAAACTAAATAATTAATTAATTAGTAAAACAAATAATATATATTTTGATTAAATTTAAATTAATTCAACCCCTAATCTGATCATGGAATGTAAAAGTCGAATATTATGTGCAAAATAAACATTAAAAATAATGGTATTTTATTAATTTTAATTTAATAAAAAAATAAAATTACAAGCAGGCACAATACATCAAAGGATTTCATGCTTCAGATTGTATTTCAAATAATCATTTATTCCTCAAGTTGATCATCAATGGGGTATATGGTATCAAAGACTACTCTTGCAAATACATGCCTAACTTCTCTTAAACTCCCCATACCTAACAATTCGTAATCGATCTTACTACCGTGTTTCGGTACAAATCCTCTTTCTCTTCCGCTTTTAACGCACTCAAATATCTTCCGGACCCTCAAGTAAAGCGCCATCGGAAAAAATACCTGAAAAAAATAAAGAATAAAAATTTGAGGAATTTTCGCCACTTTCAGTAATACTTTTGAAATACGGGTACCATATGAAGAGAAGTGCTTACAAGATCCGAATACGGTGCTTTGGGGTATTGTGCCATTGCCTGAGAGACAGAATACTCGTCTGTCATACGAGTGAGTGCACTTTGAACGGAAGCTGCTAGACTCCTAACCTCGGCCAATAGCTTGTCGGAATCGATATATTTAGATTCCGTTAATTCTTGAAAACTTATGTCGTGTTGTTTATTAATGCGTCTTGCGATACTCAATGCTTCCGATAAATCTCCACCATTGTGGACACCAAGGCTGAATGCCGCCACCACTAATGGATCTCTTGGCACTTCCGATAGTGCTTCGTGAAATGCCAAAAGTGAAAACCTGAAAAAAAAAAATCGCATTTAAATCCAACGCCCCTTTAAATAAAATTGATTGCAATTTTGAATTTTTGTGGAGTAACTAGAAATCTTTACCATAAGCTAGTGTGACATGGCCTGTCGGGTGCCAGAAGTTTATCAAGGTTGGAAAATAAAGACTGCAAAAATAAAGCCGGTGCAAATATAATACTCGTTTGTAAGCAAGTGCGGAACAAGGAAAAAAAAAGAATCCAACAGAGAATTACCAAAAGCATGTTGTACTGCTTATCCCGTCTGCGAAAACCACTGCCGACAAAATACGCTGCCTGCAAAATAAAGCTATTATTCTAATTGATACCGATAATTAAACGAAATAAATCTGGCTTGTCAAATCTTTGTTATGTATGTAACTACATTTTGTACCTGAATAGGCAGAAGTATCTCCAGAAGACCAAGCTTCCATAATAATCTTAACGAGGCCTCTGCAGAACCATAAGCCATCATGTAATTGACTTCCATGAGAAGCCTTCCCTATAAACACGATTAACGAAAATAAATACATTACGAGTATAGGTACGCAAAATAGTGTATAGAACATTCGAATATGAGCATGAAGAAAGAGGAAAAAAAGCCTTCTGTATACCCTATCAAGCCGTAAAACTGAAGTGGATAGCTTTTTTATTGCAAGGGCTGTCTCTCTTGAAAGTCCAAAACCCAATCGAGCAGCAATTCTAACAGCACGAAGAATACGAGCTGAAAATATAGAAGCACAAGCAGTTAGATCACCATTTAAAACGAGACGATGAAAAATTCACCAATATCAGCACTTCTAAGCTGAAGCAGAAAATAGTGTACTCGATATGATTTTCACACTTCTTCGGAAAGTGACGAGCAATAAAATACAACTACAATCATTCTTTCTGAAGTAAGGGGTACTATTTTAATTTATAAGAAAGGAAGGAATAGGACTTACCGCAATCCTCGGTCAATGAAAGATTGGCGGGTTTAATGGTTCGCACCTTCATACAAAAGAGGTACCAAATGTAAATAACTCGTAGACGAGAAAAGAAAATCAAAAGGAATATTAAGTTAGCAATAGCTTAGAGATACATGCACACTTTAGCTTTCCTAATATCATTCACTCCACCAATGTAATCATAAACCAACTTGGCATAAGGGTCAAACATCAACCTGAGTTCAAAAGAAAAAGAAATGGGATTCAGCAACTAATCAATACAATGAATTTGAAGGTAAGACTATCATGCAAGTTACATTTCCCGTTAACATGCCCACAAGACTGAATGAATTTTTTGGACAAGAAAAAGATGAATCAACATGACAAGTAAAAGAGAAATATAGGGAAAAACAAAAGAAAGGAAAAGCAACATATCGAAATGAATACTGATCGAGTTAAAATGGATAAAGTAGTCACCCATTTATTGTGAAATCCCGTTGGAGGCAATTTTTCCAGCGAGCATAATCCCTCTCTTCACAGCCATCAGGCCTCTCAGGATCAAAACTCAATTCCCTCCCAAACTTTGTTGCTCGGGTGCTAAAGCTTGAAACCTAATATATCTCAAGAATGTCAGTTCACTCTACTAGTTTCAGTGGGAAAGACTTAATTTCAAGTATAGAGCAACGGAAAATTTGACACAATAAATAGACGGAATAGAGAGGAATAGGCCAGTGATATCAAACCAACAGATTAGTAGGTAAATTCCTCAAATGGAGAAAATGAACCAAAAACAAATTTGAGAGAGAGAGATGGAGACAAACAAGGACTTAGTAAAACCGAAAGTGGCTAACGTGCAAGACAAATTGAATACTCAAAAGCTATAGATATAATTATAACGGAGATCAGGTGACAAACCTCTACAATGGTATCATCAATGTGCACATGGCAGATTGGAAAGCGTCTGCCAATCATCTCACATCGAGAAAATGTTCTCATCACCTGTAAATGAAGACAACAAATTTAGGATTTTAAAATACACGTTTTTTTCTTAACTTGCTAGATAAGCAGGATTTTCAATCACGTATTATCAAACACGAATAAGATAATCGACATTTTTTTATGCTTGAATACATGTTTAAGAAATGGTTACATATAGGTAAACTAAACGGAGGAACAATCTAGACTTACCTCTTTAAGTTCAGCGGTGGTTATTACATCAAAGTCCTTAGGTATTCGTTTCAAGATAAGATCCCTTACGCATCCCCCGACTAGATAAACTTCGAAACCTACAAAATGAATACGTGGGAGGAATTTAAAACGGTAAATAAGCCTTCAAGTGAAAAGAACTGAAGACATGACGAAAAAAAAATCATTTTGAATGCAGCTCTAGATACTCGGTGCAATATGCAATCTTGATACTCGGGCTTTTCATTGATACCCAAAGAAACTAAAAGCAACAGTAATAGCTAATAACTCGATTCTAATATGACGAAAAATTGAAATTCTGATGAAGTAATGCATGCACATAATAGGAGATACCACTGTTTTAGTAACTCAAGAATTGTATCGTATCAAATTCTAACAGAAATTAAATGCATTAATGATTGAGCAAACACCTCGTTTTCGAAGACCATTAAGAACAATTCTGGTAGGCCGTGAAATTTTCGAAGTACTGATTCCAAGGTCTTTCGATTTCAACTTCTTCCACTCCAAAGCCTCACCATTTGCATCACTACCGCCACTCACACTATCAAACACTACAAATTAAACAAAAAAGAGCAACGAAACAAGCAGAGCAATAAAATTCAATAATGCAACACGCAATCGTAGAAAAAATTAAAAAAAAATTAAAAAAAAAGGAAAAAAATAGAGTTAAGTCTTCACTTGCCCTTGTGACTCTTTGTGTCATCAAATGCATCAACTGCATCGGCATAGCCAAGTCTTACCTGAAAAAAAATAAAAATTGTTAAATTAGTTCATACAAAAAAAGGAAAAAAATGTAGTGTAAGGAGAAAAATTGACCTGAAGAATGTAACGGCGGAGAGGAGCACGGAGGGGCGAATACGGAAGGCGGTAGAATCCGACGCCGGTAGAAATGGCCATCGGAAATTCACATCAGAATCTAGGGTTTATCAGATTGGGGGAAAAAGATGTCCTTTGAATTCCTGGGTTTAAGAAGATATGTGCCGGAATATCCCAAACCAAAAAGCGTGTTTTAGGTAACTGATATTACAAACAGCGCTTCTTCATAATGAAAAACGTTTTTTAGCTCTGGGCCAAATTGTTATTGGGCCGGTTCAGTGAGACTTTTTAATTTTATTTGTCATCACTTAATATATATTATATAGATGTAGGCCTGATTCAGTGTAAATAAATAAAATTAAAAATAAAATAATATATATATATATATATATATATATATATATATATATATATACACATGAAAAACTCATTCTCTATTTCTCAAACTTTTTTTCCCATTGAACAAAATAATTAAGTATAACGAATATATAAAATGTGTCGAAATGATTTTATGCAGAGTCTTACAAAGATTTGGAAATGTTGAATATAGTTCTAAAATATGTGAATATATGAACATTATAATATTATTGTTTTAGCTTGTAATATTGTTGTCTCAGACAGTAATATAGTTATTAATATATTAATATTATTGTGTTAATATTAATATTAATGTATTGGCCTGCAATATTACAGTGTTGGTTGTTTTCAAAAAAGAAATTGAAAAAAAAAGATAAAAATATTTAGTATTACTATTAAGACATTAATATTACTGTGTAAGACATTAAGATTATTGTACTGTGTTCACAATAATCTTACTGTTGACCGGTCAACAGAGAGAAAATAAAATAATTCCAGAAAAAAAAAAGAAAAAAAAAAAGCAACAACGGAGACCTGCGGCAACTGGGCGGAAAAAGAGTTTCAGAAAAAAAAATCAAGAAAGAAAATCGAAGAAGGGGTCAAAGTTGATTAATTAGTGAAACTAAAGCTAAATTAGCGTTTAAATCATGAAACTGGGGTGAATTATGGTTTCCGAAAATTATGGGTAATGCTGATATAAATGTGAGATTTTTTCTTAATTGTAAATAATTTAATATCGATAGATGAATATAATTTACAAGACAAAAAGATAAGATTTTTTTTTGTTTTTTTTAATTAAATGCTCTAGTCATTTGTCAAGGCTATTTTTACAATTCACCCAAAAGAGTTAATAAAATCATTTTCAAGCGTGATCCCAAACAAAATCAGTGGCATGCGTTAGATTTGATTTACGCGTGAAAAGATATGAGTTTGAGATTTCATTGATGTTGATCCATATATATATATATATACATACATGATACATGATTTGTTCGACCCTACACCCGGTGAAAAACACCGGGTGGGTCTTCTGCTGCCACGTGTCTCTTTTTTGTATTTTATAATAAATTCTCCGCTAGGGTTTACCTTTAGGGGTTTTAGAAAAATAAAAAAAAGAACACGTGGCAGCAGAAAACTCACCTGGTATTTTTCACCGGGTGTAGCATCGAAGGAACCCATGATACATACATACAAAGCCTAAATGTGCGGTAAAAAAAATTGTATTTTTTCATGCAATTTCCAAGAAGAAACATTAGTCATTGTAACTGAAATATATATACATGATTTAATTTGTCATTGTATAAATATAATGTTTGGACTGTGAATTTAAGTGATAAAAATACTAAATTAATTAATTAAAACACACACTCTCCCTAACTCCCTTTAGTTGTGTTTGAACAAGAAAATGCATTTCTTGTATGTGTATGAATAATAATTAAATGCATTTCTTGGCTAATTATTCCCGGGTTTTTTTTCTTCGAAATATTTATTTCGAGTTGGATTTATGTTGATATTCCGGTTTTTGCTTTGCACGGATTTTACAATAAATCTCAAATATATTTATTTGGTGATAGACAAGTGTTGTCTAAAATGGCATGAAAGTTCCTAGTTGTTTCCCAAATTGCACCACATTCCAAAATAATTTTTTTTTATATATTAATTGTATACAAATAAGAAATAAAAATTAGGAAAACTCAAATGACAATTAAAAATAAGCCCGACACACTTTCGAATCGTGAGATACAAATGTCTTGAATTACGTCAAAACCTTTGAATAGTGTGAGAATTGGCTACAAATCACTCAAAAATATATTTTAAATAGCTAACATTCTGCCCGAATATTTTGAATTTAGTTAAAAATTGCTCGAGCATACAATTTAGATTGAAAATAGACAGCTTAGCTGGAGAAATTTACGCTTAAAATAGATAGTCTAGACAGAAAATATACAAATTAATAATTGAGGTTATTGCAAAAACCACCCCTGTGAAATCTCTAATTGTCAAATACCCCCCTGTGGAAAAAAATGTGACCAACTCCCCCCTGTGTTATCAAAGTCAAAGCATCTGGACCCCTGAAGCTAAATCGTGTATCTCACGCGCACTTTGTGCGAATGTTTCTTTGTTTTCACTTGTGAAATGTCATAAATGCCCCCCCCAATCCTATTTAAAATCCCCAATTCTCTTCTCTTCTCTTCTCTTTTCTTTTCTTTCAATGCCCTAATCGCAGCCGCTCAATTGCTCTGTGATTTTATCTCGATTTCCATAGATATTCTGATAATGTCGTCGTATTCGTCTAGCAACACAGCGAGGAGAAGTAATTCGAAGCCATTAATGGATTTGAGGTATGGGATTACTCCTCTATGTCTATGCAAAATGAAAGCAATAATAAAAGTGGTTGAATCATCAACGAAACCATCAAAGGGTAAGTTGTACTACTCCTGTGAACATCGATGCTGCAATTTTTTTCGTTGGTGTGAACCAACTCGAGCAACTTGGGAGCCGATGGGGGTTGCTGTACGATTTTCGAATTGGGAAGCCTCTGCAGAAGGTTTTTCGGATGAAGTAGATGAGCCACGTGAAGTAATGTCTAACGGGATTGAAGGAAGAAAAAGTGATGCAATTTTGCATATTTCTTGGGTTATTTGTTTAGCATTGTTTATTATGGTCATTCTTTTGTTGTTGAAGCTGTAAAAAAACCTTTTTTTAGCTGTTTTTGTTTCAATTAGTTTCAATTATGATTGTAATGAATGAAGCTTTGATGTTGGAATGAAGTTTTTTTTTCTTATCATTTTTGTTTATGTTTATGATTCTGTTACACATTTCTTACAAAATGAGAAAATTTGTAATAAAAATTGGCAAAAACAACCTTGAAGTGAAATGTAATTTGCAAAAACAACCTGTTTGCTAAAAAAAATGCAATCACACACATAAACAACTCCCTGTTGCTAAAAAATATGCAATCACACACATACACAATTACAAAACATGTACACAAGTACATCAACAACACTAATTGCACTGCAAATTACTAAAAACATAATCTTCCAATTAGGTTCAAGTTCAAAACCAAAATGTCATCCAAAAGTGATAATCATCTAGATTCAAAGTACAAAAGCAATCACAGCCAAATTCAAGAGAAATCATACAAAAACTATCCTAGTCAGTAGCCTTCAAATGCCTTCAAATGCAGCCAAAACAATTACACAATTTTCAAAAGCCAAAAAACAAACAAACAAAGGACTTCTAAGGCTTCCACTGTCTCCTTCTCTTGGCATTCTCCCTTATATTTTGCAGAACTTGAGAGATCTCTGGCTTCCTTATCCTTTTATTGGCAATGGGGTTGCTTGAACTTCCTCCAAGTAGGGTTGCATTTCTCCTTCCCACATACACCTACAAAAAGAAATTTAAAAAATAGAGGTAAGTTGCAAACATATAACCATCTCAATAAAAAAAAAAAACACTAGTATCATACAACCTTTCCAATTGTTGAAGGCTGTTGTGCTCTTTCCAAACCTACTCCTGATTCTTGAGTAGAAATAGGAGCTGCAGCAGTTGTTTCAGCATTTGCTTGGGCCATTCTTTCAGTACTTGGTGCAACAGAAGTACTTTGAGACCTTGGTGCAGTGAAGTTCCTTTGTGCAGAAGGGTTACTTGGGGTAGTGGATTTCCTTGGTGCAGAAGTGGTTTGACCTCTAGTTGCAGAACTGGTTTGGGCTCTTGGTGCAGAAGTGGTTTGGCCTCTTGGTGCAGAAGTGGTTTGGCCTCTTGGTGCAGAAGTGGTTTGGGCTGTTGGTGCAGAAGTGGTCTGGACATTTGGTTCACCACTGGAATTCCCCTATGACACATGGAAAAATTGATCAAAAATCTATAATAATTATACAAAATGTACAAGAAATTATGTACATAAAAAAAAAAGCTTACCTTGTAAAATTTAGAGGCTGGATTTGTTGGATTCTTACATGATGCCCGGTTATGTCCTTGCTGAAGGCAATTCTTGCATGTATGTGTGAGGCCTCTTCTTGTTGAAGTCCTATGAATCTCATCAGGGGCCTTCCTTCTCAACCTCTTAGGTCTCCCAGCCTTTTTCTTGTACATTGGGGGTAGAAGTGGCTCATGTGAAGTGATTATGTAGTCTCTTGGTCCAGGAACTGCATGTACCATGTGACTATAAGCCTTCAAATACATGCTTTTTGAATAACAGTGGTCCACATAGTCTTCTACTTTCAACCTTCTGTCCAATATACAAGTCCATGCATGGGGGCATGGGTATCCATTGAGCTGAAACATACCACAAGTGCAGGTCCTCTTGTCAAGATGAACCACATATCTATCAGTATATGCTTCAACCTCAAATTCATCTCCCCCACACCATCTTGGGAAACAGTTTCTTGCATATTTCTCATACTTGTTGATCTTTTTAAGTATGTTTGGACAGATTTGGCCCTCATACTTCTCCATGCCCTCCCTTTTTACCTGAATTCTGGTTGTTAGTCTTGCTCTGATCCACTCAAACATACTAACAATTGGCTTCTCTCTTGCTTGAAGAATGAAGTTGTTGAAAGACTCACACAGATTATTCACAACTACATCAGAGTTGCATCCTCTTCTGAAATAAGCTCTACACCAATGGTAAGGCTCTATCTCCCTCAACCATTTGGCTGCCCCTGCATCAATCCTCTCAATTGCCCTCAAATGTTGTTGAAATTCATTAGTATTTCCTGTTGAAGCAGCCCTCCACAACAACTGTTTTAACTCTAATGAAGTCCATTTTTGTTTAAAATTTTGGTATATGTGCCTAACACAGAATCTGTGAGGACACCTGGGGGCAATCTCCTTAATGGTCTCCAACAGCCCTTTCTGTCTATCAGAAATAAATGTCCACTTCCCATCCTCAGCACCACCAATGACATCCAACAATTCAGACAGAAACCATGTCCACATCTCCCTGTTTTCAATAGGAACCACAGCAAGAGCAATTGGGAATAAGTTGTCATTCCCATCCCTACCAACTGCACATAACAGTTGCCCCCCATGTGGTGTTTTGAGAAAACAGCCATCTAGACCAATCAATGGTCTACAACCTTCTAAAAATCCCATCCTCATGCCTTTAAGACTGAAAAACATTCTTTCAAACACTGGGGGGTCAGAAAGATACAACTTCCTAAGCAATACCTTTGTTCCAGGATTAGTGCTTCTGAGGGTCTCACAGTAATCCCATAATTGGGTGTATTCTTTCTCATCTTGGTCTCTTATCTTGGTCATTGCTACTCTTTTTGCCCTTAATGCTTTCCAATAACTAGATTCAACCCCAACCTTCCTCAGTATACTGTTTTGAAACTTTTGAATACCAATATCTGCATTGTCTTTAATTCCTTGTTCCATCCTCATTCCAAGATACTTGGCAGTGGCATGTTTGTTCTCCCTTTTTCTTGAACATGTGTGCTCACCTGTTAGGGTCTTAACCTGCAAACATAACATATAAATTCATTAATATCATTGGGATCAAAAGAAAACAATGAAGAAACATAAACCAAAAGAAAACACAATACCTGAAACATTTGACTTCCTTGAACAACAGAGGCATGGATCCTCCATTTGCAAGCCTCTTCCTTGCATGTTGCAGTCACTCTTGTCCTTTCATTCTTTAAGTACTCCAGTTCATATCCATTTCTAACAACCCAATCTATAAGTGCTTTCCTATAAATGTCTACATTTGGAAACTTCATACCAACTTCAAGATTTCTGTTTTTCATTGTTTCCCCTTCACTGAAACTAGGAACTCTTCTCCTCTCACTGTCTAAGAAATTCAGATTTTCAATATCATCTTCATCATCAACATCACTATACCAATCAGTGGTCTGTTGAGATGGATTGACTCTGCATTTTTTATACCTCTGGACTGACCTCTTTTCCTTGTTCAGCATTTGCCTCAGTTTTCTAGCTAGATCTTTCTTACTTGAATTTCTGTCCAAAAAGATATCATCTTCAGAGGAGCCTTCAATGTCAGCAAACTCTTCACTTGGGGCATCAGAGGGTATATCATCATCACCATCTTCATTGTCAGATTGAACATAATCTTCATCTGAAGAATCATCTTCAAATATTGCTGCATCTTCTTTATTAACTGGCTCATCTTCATTCAGTGATGCCTCCTCTTCATTCAGTGTTGCCTCTTCTTCATTCATTGGTGCCTCCTCTTGATTCAGTGGCTCTTGATTCAGTGCTGCCTCTTCTTCATTCATTGGTGCCTCCTCTTGATTCAGTGGCTCTTGATTCAGTGCTGCCTCATCTTCAGTAATTGGTGTCTCATTTTCCTCCTCTTGATTCAGTGTTGCCTCCTCTTCAGTCATTGTTCTCTCATTTTCATCCAGTGCCTCCTCTTCATTCAGTGGTGCCTCATCTTCATTCATTTGTGTCCCATATTCATCCATTGGTGCATCATCTTCAATGTTTACAGTCTCTACTGTCTCTCTTGTATTCCCTTCACTGTACTTAAGCAGGAGAGTTTCCCCTTTATCCACAATCACATTTCCATTCACATCAATTGCAATTAAAGGTTCTCTGTCATTCTCTTCTGTGTACAATGTTAGGTGGTCTAAGTCTTCATGTGCTGACACTAGGAATTGGATACTAATATCATCTTCAATCATCCTCAATCCATCATGAAGTGATAGCCCAGGATAAACAAAGTAGAACTGAATATTAGTTTTTTCCCCCCCACTCATACGATATATCTGGAATAGGTTATCTAGGTTCATGTAGTCTAAGCAAATTCGATCCACTACTTCCATTTTGCCACCTACATAAGCCAGTTTGGGTGTATGGACAAATTTACCATTCAACCAAATAGTAACTGTACACAACTTGTTCATTCTGCAAAAAAAATGGTAAAAACAGTCAAACACAATTGTTCAATTAATTATTATTATTACTTTGCAAGTTCACCAACAAAGTAACAAAGTGCCCTACTTCTACATACCCCACACCATATTTTTAAAATTTTCAATTCAAACAACAAGACAACAAAAAATGGTCATAAAAAACTGATACCAAAAAATAATTAAAAAAACCCTACAAAGCAAAAAATCTTGTTGTTACAGACAAGCAAACAAAAAAACAGATCCCCACACACTAAAATATTAAATGTAGCATTTCTCAAAAAGTTCCCAACTCGCGAATATAATATACAAAACCTTACAAATACAAAAGCCTACATACTTTAACATTCCCACAACTCTAGTTATCGAGAAAAAAGATAGGGTTTTTTCAAATAACACAAACAAGACAGAATACTACAAACCTTAATTCTTGACTCCGTATCTCAAATATGACTTCTTGGCGCCTTCAATCGACGAGAGGGGAAGCTATTTCAAGTTTCAATCGACGCAAAAAGCATTTTTTCACAAGCAGATTCGAAATTTTTTTGGGGGAATCGTGTTTTAGGGTTTTCAGAGGTAGGTGTAATTTGGGAGCGAGAGTGAAATAGAGAGAGTGAAAATGGGTTTACTGCTGTTTATTTCACTGAGGGGTATAATGGTAGTTTCACACGCGGTCAATGTTTAAAAATCAAATGGGTGCGGTGAGCTTTGTAATTCATAACACAGGGGGGAGTTGGTCACATTTTTTTCCACAGGGGGGTATTTGCCAATTAGAGATTTCACAGGGGTAGTTTTTGCAATAAGCTCTTAATAATTAGTTGAACAATTTCGACTAAAAATAGACATTAATTAAGAACGAAAATGATGACTAAAGAGCCTTACAATAACATTTTTCAGATTTGAAGATAGCAAATTGTTGACAAATTGATTTTTTTTTTTTACTCTTCTTATTAGGGTTTATTACATTGTGTACTAAAAATTAAAAAATTCGAAACCGGAATTTTACGTTCGATTGACCAATTAGTGTACTAAAAGAAATTCTGTCACTAATTCCTTTTTCTTTCTTTTTAACTTTTTCTTCTGTTTTTTGGTTCTGAATTTCAACGTGTGGGGCCTACAAATAACTACGGCTTGCATGGAGATTTCGTTATCAGGGTGGTCTCGTTTTGCTAACGACAAACTTTGCTACGTAGACTCCATGCATAGCATAAATATTAGGATAAATTACAACCACCCTGAGGTATGGTCAAATTACAAAAAATCCCCTCTTGTTTGAGTAATTACAACTACCTCTCAACTATAAATCTTCTTACACGTCTGCCCTTGCGGTTTCAAATTTAGCGAAATCTTCGAGATTATATGAAATATTATCACTTTTGTACTCGTTTTATCCGATTCGATCTCCACATTTTGAAGCAAGATGATCATAATATGTATTTTTTGGCTTGTTAATATCAGATTGTGGTGCATCAGAAACTGTATTTTTACACAAAATGAGTACAAACTAGAGCACATTCCATGAAATCTAGATGATTATGTTGAATTTGACACCATAAGGGTGTAGGTGTAAAAAAAAATCATAATTAAAGGGTATATATAATTATTCAAACAAGATGGGATTTTTCGTAAATTGACCATACATCAAGGGTGGTTGTAATTTACCCTAAATATTAACTCTCTATTTTCCCTTTCTTTAATTTTGAACCACAACACTGCATCCTCTGCTTTTTCATTCATTATTATCTAGACTAGGTACTCAACCCAGACCTAGAATATATATTAGATTTCTTTTTAATTTATTAATCTAACAACTTAATTTACTTAATATATTTAACATTTAAAAAAAAAGTTGTTATAGCAGTTAATTCACATTACATACATATATAATAATAGTTAAAATAATAAAACAAATTTTATTCACATACAAGACAGGGACGGTTGTGAGTATAGGCGGGAGACGCAGTCGACTCGCGCCCCCGATTTTTAGAAAAAAAAAATAGAAACTCCCAAATAATGTTTTGTAATCTTTATATATACTTTATATTGTATTAAATGATATTTAAAATTTATAGTTCAACAATTTGAATAACCATAACTATATTACTTCATATAGTCGTCTAAGTATTTGTTGGAAATTTTTACATTTATTCTGCCATTTGATGTGAATGAAGTGTCTTAGATTAATTATAATTAGTTAGATATTGAGTTCTTATATCAAATTTTTATCTATTTCAAGATTTAATTTTTTTCCAGCAATCTTCGCATCTTTTAATAATTTACATTGCTTATCTCTAGCTTCAAAAGGTTTCGACAAGTTGAAGCATACTATTTATTTTCTTATATTTAAACAAATTTTACATATATTTACTTGCTCAATAATATTCTATGATTATTTTCAAAAAAAACTTCAGGGCTCTGCCCTGAACTCCGTAAATTTTTAATTAATTACCTTAACTTCGTCAATATTTTATTCATATTTGCTCGAAAATTCTTAACTGTTAATCAAAAAATTCTTGTCGAGTCTTACTCGTTAGAATGAATTAATGTATACATTATGTACTACAAATATGAACGTATTTGTACAAACTCTTAAAACTCGTCAAACGACCCCCAATTTCTCAGCAACGACATGTATACGAGACGTGCATGTTATTTATTTCACTTGTTAAGTAGTTATGCTTGCCAACTAATTAATTAATTAATTGATGTTAGTAAACAAAAAATTGAACAAACATGTCTGAAAAATCAAGTATAGTATCGTCAATTTTGTCTCAATGATAATGCATTAATAAATTGACGATAAAATTTGTTTTTTATCATAATAGTGGTTTTCATTAACTTATTATGGCGAGTTCTTGTTTCTCAGTTGTCACTGTTGATATTAACTAGTGGCACACATATAATTAATTAAATAAATGTCAGTTCAAAATAAGTTAATATATTTTAGGGTAAATTACAAACACCCCCTGAGGTATGGTCAATTTACAAAAACACCCCTCTTGTTTGGATAATTACAACCACCCCCTCAACTCCTCAAATTTAGTGAAATCTTCGAGATTATATGGAATATTATCACTTTTGTACCCGTTTTATCTCATTCAAACTCTACATTATGAAGCAAGATGATCATAATATGTGATTTTTAGCTTGTATATATCAGTTTTTGGTGCATCGGAAACTGTATTTTTACACAAAATGAGTACAAACTAGAGCAAATTTCACGGAATCTAGATGATTATGTTGAATTTGGCACCATGAGGGTGGGGGTGTAAGAAAAAATCATAGTTTAGGGGGGTAGATGTAATTATTCAAACAAGAGGGGTTTTTTTATAATTTGACCATACCTCAGGGGGTATTTGTAATTTACCCTATATTTTATTATTTTTATACATAAATTATTATAATAATCCAAACATATTGCACGTTTAAAAGTCGCATAAAAAAACCCTTTATGTATTTTCTAATCCAACCCATGAATAAGATGTCACAGTGAAATGCAATTAAAGCTCAAGACATGTCAAATAAAAAAATTAAAATATCATTTAATTTTATTTGAATTGAGTTGAAAAATAAATATATTATATACATGTTGTATGTATAATGAGATTCGTTTAACCTTAATATATAATTTTGTTATGATAAACTTATTCATTGTAATAAACTGATCAATGATGATTTGATAGTTGATTGTCAGAACATATTCACTAAAAGACAATCGGAAATAAATGAATAGCAAGAAGAGTTGATTCAATTTGAAATAATTAAATGCAAGAAGAGAAAAATATAATAAGAAAAGAAAAAAAAAAGATATTAAATCAATGCATTATTAGGAATGGAAGACTTTAATTTAGAGTTTTAAATTTATAACAATTAATAATTTGAGTTGATGAATTCATGAATTTTATAACAACCTTTTAAATTAATACTATGGTGAATTATATTTCTCATATTCTATCTTGATCATTTGTTTTTAATATAATTTTAATGTACATTTTTAAATTGTCTTTTGTAGTACTAGCTAGTACCAAATTTTTATATGTGAATTTACTAAATTTAAGCAACAAACCGCATAAAATATTTTTAGGTCGCGCGATAAAAGTTTTTCGCTCCTTCGTGTAGAAGCTAAAAAATTATGAGAAAAGTGAGTTTTTTTTATTTTCAGAAGTTTGCTGTCAATTTTTTCAGGAGTTTACTACCAATTTCAGCCAATTTTCAGATGTCACCGGGAATTTCAGAAGATTACTATTAATTATAAACAACAAAACTCGAAAGTAGAAACCACTCATAAACGAAATTACGTGACCTAGAAACACAAAAAACCGATGAAAGCAACAAATCTATGCTTCAATTTGATGATTTAACCAATCAGGAAATAACAAATCTTGTCAACAATTGAGGGACACCATAAAAGCATTTTATAAAGACATACATTCAAGATCCTTCTTTTAACAATATCTTTAATTAATTTCTCCCTCTCTTTTTTTCTTGCAATTATTGATCAATTTCTTGATCAATTAAATTAAATTTAAATAAAATAAATAAATAAACCATTATTGATTAATTTCTTGATCCTTCTGAAAATAATGGTGTCTCTTTTTTCTGTAAAGGGTTTCTTTCTTTTGGCATTATTGAATTTAGTAATAGAATTTTTTTTCCAGGTGCTTCTGGGCTAGTTGTGTATGTAATTTGGCACACACATAAATAAAACACACAATCACACACATATATATGTGTAGTGTTTGATTTGACATATGCATTACTATGATTTTCCCTTCATTCGTCTCCATCTGATGCTGTCTGAATGACAACTGTCCAAAATTTTAAGGCACACTTCAACATGAGTAAAAGTAAATCTTATTCATACAACCTTTTGATATAAAAACAAGATCCAAAAAAAGAAATGGTATCTTTGTGTATCACATTGTTATGTTTAAAGGGAATATTAGTTCACAAGTAGTTAATAATCAATTCAAATCCTGTTACAAATCAGAAAACCGAGGAAATACATGTTTGATTAATCGAAACCCCTCGACCTTGACTGTAATAATCAATGTAATGGTGAATCAACGGGTCGGTTTTGGGTGAGTTTGCGTAAATCCGAGACCTATACCCGGTTTTGGGCGAGCAAAAATATATAAGGCCTAGACCCGTCCCAACCAGTTTTGGCTTAGACACAGATCCCAC